TGCAGAAGATTACAAAATCTTGTGCTATTTACCACTAAATTTTCAAAACTTTGTGCTATATATCAAAAATCTGTCTCTATTGCATTTTCACTGGTATTTACTTCTGGAAAGCAGAAATAAATCTTCCTGTTATACCTGTTACCTCTTTGCAGTGCTGCTGCTTAATCAAAAAAGTTAACTGGTGTAAAATGGTCCGCAGACTGAGTGAACTTAGTAATGCTGATTCAAACACTTCAGATTTCCTTTTGAACTGTATTAACAGGAACTGAGTGTGTAGAACATGGAAAGGAAGTTCTCTGCTGTGCTTGGTGCTTCTAAAACCTCTTAAGAGTACTGCATTAGCTTGTGAGCACTGGGGTCTCCTTAAAAAACCCACAGACAAATTGCAGAGGCATCAGACAAGAGCTAGAGATCATGGAAACATGCCCTGTGATGGTAGTTGGAAGGTTCTAGTCAAACTGAATGACACTTTTGTTCAGAAAGAAGACTGAGATGCACTCTTTTGTTAGGAGAAAATTGATAAAAAGTTCAACTGTTTTCCTGTCCTTTGTCAAATAAAAAGAAATAATAAGCTTAATTTGGTGTGAGGGAAATTTGGGTGAGACACTTGGAAAATGACACAGTGTGAGAACATTTACGTCTTGGCAAAGGTGGTTTCCTGTCTCTGGGGTTATGTGAGGAGTTAGGATTTTTATTTATTAATTCCCCTTTTAATAATAAGGGGGATGTCCTTATCAGGGATGTTCTAGGTGTGCTTGAACTTGGTTCAAAACAGAGAAGGAGCTAGAATAGATGACCTTTTTGATGTCTTCTTTCTTAGTTTGCTGCTGTTATTTTTATAAAGAGTGAACACATGATGCTGTGCCTGCAGCAGAGACCCTGTCAGTTTTAGCTTAGAGCTAATGCAGTATGAAGGGAAGATAAAGTGTGTGTATATGTGCATGTGTGTAATGTATTTAACTTAAGGTTTTCATAAATATGTTGTTATTATTTGAGGCACTACTGGCTTCTTTTCTTGCATCTTCGCTCAACTTTTTTTACTTATTTTTCTCATTCTTCCCTTGCTGTAATAACTTACATGTTTGCTTACATGTTATTATTATTGCTGTAATAACTTAAACATGTTTGCTTTTGATAATGTTGATAGGAAATGCAGTGCTGCTATCACTGTGCTAGCAGCACTGCATTTAAGATTATCTGAGTGATATGAAGTGGGTTTCATAGACCAGAGCTAGACTTTTGGTGTTGTCTTCTGACTTTTGAACGTTGGCATTTATTTTTAATAAACCTGAAAAGACTGGATATACATGTGTATTGGGTTTGTGTGGCAAGGTTTTGGTGGTGGTGGTGGGGGGTTACAGGGGTGGCTTCTGTGAGAAGCTGCTAGAAGCTTCCCCTGTGTCTGACAGCCAATACCAGCTGGCTCTAAGACAGACTGGCCAAGTTTTGTCTATGCAATAATACATAGGCTGAGCCCATCAGCGATGGTGGTAGTGCCTCTGGGATGACAGATTTAAGAAGGGAAAAAAAAGTTGCAGCGGGCACAGAAGTGGCAGCTGGATGAGAGGAGTGAGAACATGTAAGAGAAAGAACCCTGCAGACACCAAGGTCAGTGAAGAAGGGGGAGGACACGCTTCAGGCGCTGGAGCAGAGATTCCCCTGCAGCCCATGGAGCTCCATGGTGGAGCAGACATCCACCTGCAACCCGTGGAGGACCCCACGCTGGAGCAGGTGGGTTCCCGAAGGAGGCTGTGACCCCGTGGGAAGCC